TTTTCCCTTGCAATATTAGCTTGATTTACTTATTAACTAGGCTTGACTAGCTGAATTGAATGAACCATCCATCATTAACTTCAAGCTTAGACTGTTGAATCTTTCTCTTGAATACTGTCTTTCTCTTTAGGGGATCCACATATCTAGGATGCTGGTCACAACCACAACTTGTTAGATGGGGTGTAAAACTAGAAAAACAGTGAAGGGGGACACAATTAATAACATGAAGCAAGCAAGACATAAGTGAATAAACATTACAATTAACTCCTGGGGATGTAGTTACCAAAAATTGTATGAAATTGATGAAATTCTATGGAAAACACATGATTTGCAAATGAAATTCAAGAAAGATTGCATAATATTGCTCAACTACACTTCTAAACTTTTTTATTCCCCAGGAGTTTATCAAATATTTCATCCTACTAAATTTGCGGTCATCTCTTCTCCCATTATCTCGTTGTGTAACAACTATGGCTTTAACGGCATATAAAATGTCCTCTTTTGGGACATAACCCAGAGGTTCTCCCAAACGGGGAAATGTTGTCTCCAACCTATGTGTCCTTCCCATACCACCACCAACCTGAAAACAGAACACTGGAGAAAAGAAGATTGTAAGACAAAAAAACTACTCATGAAAAGAGCAAAGAGATAACAATTAAGATTGCATGTTTTTCTTACGTATATGTTGAATCCCTGAGGCTCCCCGTTCTCATCAGTAACAACAACAACACCAATGTCATTTGGGAGAATATCCACCGAGTTATCTCCTGGAACAGTTACAGCAATTTTGAACTTCCTGGGCAAGAACTGAGTTCCATAAATGGGCTCAGGTGAATCAGGGAAATTTGTTCCATGATTATTATCATTGCGAGCCTTCACTACTTCTGGAGGTTCTGCTCTCATGATTCTCTCCCCATCCACCCACATATCATAGTAGAAACCTGACTGAGGGGTTAGAAGTGCAGCAATATTTTCTGCTGTTTCCTGAGCAAAGAGATAATCTTTTCTTGCAATTGGGGCTGCAGGAGCAAGAACATTTCTGTTGAGATCACCACAAGCACCAAGAGTTGAACCCATGCTCCTAATAATATTGCTCATCACCGTCTTAAGGTCCTTCTTCAGAACACCATGGAGCTGAAATGTTTGTCTCGTAGTCAACCGAAGTGTCCCAATTCCAAACTGATCAGCAAGATCATCCATAGTCAAGTAAAGTTTGTTTGAGACTTTTCCACAAGGATTCTTAGTCCGAAGCATAAACGAATAGGACTTGGCACCGCGCTCATCCCTGTTATACTGTTGATAACTTCCATGAAACTTGATAAGTTGTGTGGCAGCCTCATTTATATTGGGAGCATCTGTCAACAGCTCCTCATTAAGAGGGTTTCTTATGTAATTGCTTCCTTCTTTAATTATTTCAACTTTACTGCGCTTAGTTTCAGTTGCAGTGTCATGTTTCACGGCTGCAAAGGGATTGCACAAGCTATCAATCAGAAAGAAATGGTTTCCAATTGAGCCTAAAACTAGAACCTGTTACGACTGGTGTTCTTGACTTATTTTAAGAAAGCTGATATTTTTAAGCTAAAAAAAGGTTACCCATTTCTTTTCCTTTCAACTCAATCCTAGAGAATCAACATACTCAATTGTTAGGAAACAAAAAGTATAAAAAAGAATTATGTATTCCCTTCCTACAAAATTGAACTAAAAACATTAAAATGAAATCAATGCTCTAATCTGACTAAAGCAAAAAATAAAATAAAATAAAAAAGAGAGAAACTCACAGTTGAAACAGCTCTGATAACAGATGGAGTCGATTTCGGAACCAGAAAAACGTGAGGATTACGGTTGAAAGCGAGAGAATGCGAAGGTTTGAAGCCGATCAAGCTGTGCATTCGAATCTTGGGATCATTTGGCACCACAGTGGTAGCTGCAGCTCCATAAGCGGTCGCCATGGATCAGGAATCGGATGCAAAACCAAGATTCTCAGCTAGGGTTTAAGGATTCTGCTTTAGGGAAATAAAGAAGAAGAAGAAGAAGAAGAAGAAGAAGAGTTCGACGGAGAAACGGATTTTGATTGTGTGATGAAGAGGAAGAAAAGCCAAAGACTGCGCTGGGCACGTGCTGGTATAATTCGTTCGGTACGGATTTCAAATGCTTCAATTTTTTTATTTTTCTAAAAATTTATATTTTTAAATTTTTTTTAATTTTTAAAAAACTTTAAATAATAAAAAATCAAAAACTTTAAACTTAAATTTTTTATAAATTTTATTTTTATTATTATTTATTTATTTTTATTATTTTTAAAAATAATTTTTAAAATTTTTTACTAATAAAAATTTAAACTTTTACTTAACATTTATCACATATGAACAGTAAAAGCTTGTTTAAAAAAATAAGATCGTAAGATTTTACGATTTTAGGTGTGAATTTCGAGTAAAATTTATGTTAAAATCGAAATCTCATAAAATCGAAAGGAAAAATCGTAAAATCGTAATTTTATGGTAAAATCGTTTGAAATCTCGATTTCACATGGAGTGGAGGAATCACCGGTTGGTTGGTTGCTTTGAGACGGAGGAGAAGACTGGCAACTGTTGTTAGGCGCAGTGTTATCAATAGCGGCAAATAGCGGAAAGGCCAAAATCCGCTATGATAGCGTAGCGGGTAGCGTAGTGGCCGCTATAGACAAATATCCGGTATTTAATAAAAAAATTAAAATATAAATCTAATAATTAAAATAAGAGATAAATCTAGTAATAAAAAGTATAAAATGACCTAAGAGTTTATAAAAATTATCAAAAATCATAAAAATAATATTCTCAAGTCTCAACAAATAAAAATCATAGTTTATAATAATCAAACAAGATAATAAAATACTTAAAGAGTATAAAAATCAAATAAGATCAATTCTGGAAAAAGTCAGATAATAGAACTTTAAAACAAAAAATCATTCACTTCCCATGTCACTGTCAAAATCAACTTATTATATACAATCTAGACTTCCATATTAGAAAATACATCATAGAATCAAAATCAAGATTTTATTTTCCTATATAAACTTCCTTCAATACAGAAAAACAAAAAAGAAACAAAGGCGCACTTGCAGAAGCAGAAAGCAAAGAAAAAAATAATTGTAATATAAACTTGCTTCAACACAGAAAAAAAAAAAA